ATGGTTTTTTTTTTTTTTTTGCTTGAGGGGGTGGGGCTGGGGTTGCGCCGCCCATGGCGCTTCCCGAATCCCCAACCCCCCTCCCGACCGACCGCCACGCGTCCACGAAGTGGCGCGTCCGCGGGGTCGCGGACTCGGCCGCGACCGCACTTGTCTGCCGCCGAGGGGGATTCGTAGCAGGAGGTCACTGATATTGGTTGTTTCAGGCAGGGGAATCTTATTTAGGGAAAGGGGGGGGTCTGAGCTCCGGTGAATGCCCCTTCCACAACAATATGAGCAGATGATACATTTTGAGAGGGAGTTGTAAAAGGGCCTTAATGAATTAGACCCCAGAGGATGCCCCAACAGCGAGGGGCCCTATCGGCCAGAACTTAAATTCGTGAGTTGCAACCCGAAAGACAAAGTTCCTGAGGCAAATGTCGCATCCATAATGAAATGAAAAGTCGTTTTGAACAGTCACAAACAGGTCCTGCACGAACAGGTATTGGGCACAGTTTTCCAGACTGAGTTAGGTCACGTCTCCTCGATGGAAAGTCATGTCTGTTCGGCAATGAGTCAAAGGCTACAGTCCCAGTCCAATCATAAGGGAGTGAGCATGCATGATGAGTGGGAGTAGACCAGGACAATAGACATAGAGGGAGAGAGAGAGGAAGACAGACGAGAGAGGGGGAGGTGTGAGCTATGGTGACACTTACCTGTTGAGCGCTGTTGTTGACGTTTGGCAGCTGGTGCTGATGAGCGCCAGGCTTGGAACTCATGTTGATCGAAAAAGATTTGTAACTCTGTTCAACGCTATACATTTTGGACTCATGAAATTCCTCTCTTAAATCTGGTTATGATAATTGGGTTGAGCTTCCTGGTTCTCATTTCATCTTCTTTTGGGTTTTGTGTGAGACTTCGCAATCTGTGAAATATGTGTGTATGCATGTGATCTGATGCACTCCAGCAAGTGATGAACAGTCGGGTTCCTTGCAATTTGGTATCAGAGCAAAACTTGTTACTCTCACTGGACGCGCTGGCATGATCAAGGCCGGCAAGAAGGATAAGCTGGCTTGAGTATAGCTGGCGAGAGTTGATGTGAAGAGGAGTTAGATTGGGATAGAGGAGGAAGTTGGTCGAAGAAGAAGGGGCTAAGGAGGAGAAGACTTACCTGCGATTGGAGCGACTGGAGCGATTGGAGCGAACGTGGAGTCTTCATCAACGACTACAAAGAAGAGAAGAACCTCCTGCCCCACTTACCTCGATTGATTGCAAACATGTGCGTTGTGTATCTCTTCCCCCTCCTTTTTGGTGGTCGCTGCTGCTGTCTGGACGAAACCTGTGGCCTGGTCTGATCTGACAGATAGGACTCGAGAGTTAACATCTGGTCGTCGTGTTATCCACCTAGTCTATCGATAGGTAGGGAAGGAAGGTTGAGTCAGGGAACTGTGTACTGCCACGTCAGAGTGTACGAAGCTTAGAGCTGAGATAATCGTGGTAAACTGGATTTGATTTCGAAGTAAGTTGGAGTATCACCCGACTACCTTTTCTAACAAAAGTGACCAGACAAGACCATTGAAGGCATAAACCAGCTAAGTAACTAAACAGGCAGCAAACAAAGGAAGAGGGAAAAAAAAAAGAGTTCCTACTTTGCATATTGATTAGGAAAATATTATATATCTTCTGCATTATTAAATTTCGTTATTCTGAAGCAGCGACATCCAGACTTAAAAAAAAAAAAAGTGACAGATCCCAACTACTCAGGTAAACTAGGTTCTTGGGTAGCTACTTGGTGATCCATCGGAGGCCTCCCCTGTGCTGTACCCCACCATGGATGACTATCCCATCTACGGGATGGTGGCTCTGTCTGTTCTTTTGGGATCACTATTCCGTTTCCTTTTCCCTCTCGGCTTCGGGAGAGTGTGTTCTTCCCGCACGATGATGAGGTCCGAAACAGCAAAGCCCGGACTCTCAGCGGCAGAGCAGGCAGAAGTAGACCGCCGCCTAGCCGAGAAAAAGAAAGAAAAGGAGCAGAAAAAAAAACAGAAAAAGAAGAGTTGAGAAATAAAACTCAAATAGAAGACGAAAGAATTAAAAAAAAGTTGAAAGAAAAGTTAGAAAAAGAATTGTTCGAAGAACTAAGACTATAGAGAAAGAAGATGCACCTGTTGATGACGCAAACAGACTCATCAGACATCGAACTGAAAAGGAAGAAAGCAATCATACAGGTGGGCTGAATATACAGGTCAGTCCCTTAAACTGGTATGACCAGTACAACTATTCCAGTGAACGGATTGAAGAACGGAGGAAGAACGGGACATGTTCATTGCAAAATTGGCATCCATTAAAGATGAAAGGGAAAAAAACTCTTGCTGGAGGAAAAACGAACTGAATAGCACAACAAAATGTTAGCTGCAAAGTGACAAGAGTTAGAGGAGAGGAAAAGACTGCAGGTAGAGGGTGAAAGGTTGCAAAAAGAATCGCGAGCGCAGAAAGAAAAACAAACAGCAACAGAAGAACAACTTGCCCTCTTGACAGAAATTGTACTTCATACAAAGCAAGAGTTAGCAGCGATGAGCAATACCTTGCAGAAAGTTGAAGCCCATTAGTATGAATTTGAGGGAGTCTGAAATACCTTCCTACAAAGATCTGCAGTAGAAGTTGATCAACATGTACAAGCATATATTGTAAAACTAGATAAGCAGATCAGTAAAACTTAAACACCCGCCGTAATTAAGAAATTGGTAAGCAACGGTGGAGGAGATGGAAGAGATGGAAAAGGTGATGGAGACGGAGATAGGAAAAAGAAGGGTGTGCTGCAAGAAGATGCAGGGGAAGTTAGAAAGATAAAAGTAAGAGTGTCGTGGACATATACCGGCAAAAAGAAAGAAAGTGTTTTACATTAGATTGTTGCGGTTGAGTCCTATGTGTACGGGCAGCGTATACCGTAATTGGACAGGGTTCTCATGGCCAGTTCGTGTACGGACGAAGATGCAATGAGTTTTGCAATCTCCCTGCAGAAAGAAGCTAATTGTCAGTCTATGGTAGAGTATTTCCAACAAACCCGTATTGAAGATTTTTTTAAAGCGGTCCGGGAACGATTTGAAGATAAAAACTTAGCCCGGAGAACTGAAATGTTAATCTTGAATATCGCAGATAGGAAATGAAAAAGTGTATCCGCACTTAAATCTACCATGGACGAACTTCTGCAATGTGTTGAACATGGACTTACCTCGACGTAGATTCTTAATAATTTTGCTAGAGCACTACCCGATCCTCTCCGCACTCAACTATATCCCTGTACCAAGGAAGAGGGGATGACTTACGAGAAGTATTCCTGGGAAGGACAACCTTCTCCTGACCTTTGAAGAAGGAGGTGTCAAAACTCTCACCTACGACCATATAGACTATGGTTTGGAGGGAGATGCACACAACGGACCGGTAGTTAGGGAGGGGGACTACACGGTCGTTGCAGCCCGCGGGGGAGGGCGACAAGGAAGAGGTTGTGGCAGAGGAAGAGGAGGCCGCGATTGTGGAGGAAGAGGACCCGACATCCAGAGGGGTGGTGGCGAAGGAAGCTACTACATGGGAGGAATGGGCAATAGTCCCTCGCAAGGTGACCGAGGACCCAACTCAACATGGGGAAGGGGAAGAGGCACTTGGAATGGAAACTGGGATCATCTGTATCCACCCCATCCAGGTCTGCCCGAAGGCAGACCTTCGGAAAAATTGAGAATCACATAAAAAGTTTGGCAAGTCGCTGATCAATGCCTCAAATGTGGTGACCCCAACCACATCGTTCCCTTCTGCCCATATTATAAACAACCAAAAGGGAACAGCCAGTAGGGGTTTCAGTTTCCTCTACAGGAACTTCGGATGCAACCAGACTGACATCCTCCCGTTCGAAGGTTCCAGTGGCAGAAACTGAAGAAGACAAACGATCCCCATCTAGTCAGTTGTCCAGAGGTAGTTAGTGTATGTACCTCTCTAGGTGGATCCCTCGCAGGCATAGGTGATGAGTTGGCCACTCGTCGCAAAGCTTGGGTCGAAATAAAAAAACGGAAAGGGCAGCTAATTATCGCAGATCTAGAAGTTAATAAAGTAAGAGTAGGCGGTATGATTGACAGTGGGTCAACACGCAACTATATTAGTAAGAAAGGTCTACAAAAGTTGCGTCTCGGGTTAAAGGTAAAACAGTTGGAAGAGCCCGTAGTAAGTAAATTATCGAATAATAGCGAGATTGTGATGGATAGATATGTTGAGGGGATTCATACATACTTTCGGCTCGAGGCAGAGGGGAAGGTGGAACACGTTCTCCACTCTCTGACTCTCTTGGTGGAAGATAGTCTCCCTTTTGACATTTTCTTAGGTACAGATTGAGGGGAAGCTGCAGATGCGGATGTGAAGCTAAGGGACCATGAGTGTTGGCTTCCTAGTCCGCAAGGTGGAAAGAATAAAGTCCGTCTATTTCATGGATCCGCTAAGGAAAGCAGCTTGGCTCATTGTTGTATGAGTGCCCCCGCGTTCGCCCGTCATGTAAAGAAGTATAATCTATATGATCAAGTATTTGTGGCATATGTGCGCCCAGTCAAGGAAGGTGAAGATAAGGAAGAGGCAAAGTCCCCAGAAGTTGACAAAATTCTGAAAGAATTCGCAGATGTGGCAAAGGCCCCAAGCGGGTGTGGTCGAACGACCTTACAAACATCGCATTGAAATTATTCTTGGAAGTTAGATTCCAAAGGGTCCAATTCACAGAATGTCACCCAAGGAATTATACGAACTGCGCACCTAGCTCAATGAAATGCTGGAAAAGGGATGGATTAAACCTAGTTCCTCACCCTATGGTGCGCCAACGCTATTTGTGCCGAAGAAAGATGGTGGGGTCTGCATGTGTATTAATTATAGAAGGTTAAATGATATAACTATCAAAAATGTTGAGCCATTACCCATGATCAATGATTTGTTGGATCGAGTTCAAGGTAGCAGATACTTTACAAGAATTGACCTGAAGTCTGGCTACCATCAGATTGAGGTAGAACCAGAAGAACAATATTAGACTGTCTTTCGTACAAGGTACGGGCACTATTAGTTCATTGTGTTGTTCTTTTGTCTTACTAATGCACCTGCAACTTTCCAACGGGCAATGAATGAACTTTTTCGTGAATGGCTTGATAAATTCGTTGTTATATATTTAGATGATATTTTGATTTTTAGTAAAAGTCTAAGTGAACATTGTGAGCACCTTCGACTTGTGCTAAATAAATTGCGCGAGGCAAAGTTGAAGTTAAACCCTAAGAAGTGTGAGTGGGCAAAAGGTCAGGTATTGTATTTGGGGCACGTTATAGACTTGGATGGTATCAAACCGGAAGACGCAAAAATTGCAGCTATTCGAGATTGGTCCAACCCACGTACATTGACGAAACTATGATTGTTCCTTGAATTGGCTAACTACTGTCGTAAATTTGTACGATACTTTAAGATAATTGTTGCTCCCCTTCGCAGATTGTTGAAGAAGGAAATGATTTGGAAGTGGGACCAATATTATACGTCTTCATTTAAATATCTAAAGAAATGTTTGATTAACTATCCGGTTTTGAAAGTTGTCGATCCTTCTTTGCCCTTTGTTGTTACTACCGACGCCAGTCAGTACGGGACAGGCACTGTACTCCAGCAAGATGACGAGAATGGATATAGGCCTGTCGAGTTCATGTCCCGACGACTGCCTAGTGAGAAAGTCGCCACTTCTACGTATGAAAGAGAGCTATATGCACTCCGGGAAGCTTTGGATCATTGACGTCATTATCTCCAAGGTCGCCATTTCAAAGTGTACTCAGATCATGAGACACTTTGCTGGCTAAAGACGCAGACCCGGATGACACCGAAACTGACCAGGTGGGCTGCGGAAATCGATCAGTATAACTTTGAGCTAAGACCAGTAAAGGGTAAGTATAACGTTGTTGCTGACGCATTAAGTCGAAGATCTGATTTCTTCGGTGCTATTGTAACGTATTTAGATATAGGCACCGATTTACAAGATAAGATTAGGAATGCTTATTCCACTGATCCTGTTTATGGCGCTATGCTGAAACGTGTTCAAGAAGCACCACAAGAGTTTCCTAATTATCGGATAACCCAAGGACTGTGTTTGAAAGAACTGATGTGCATGATAGGCTTTGTATCCCAAACAAGGAAGAGATCAAAAGTGTGATCTTAAGGGAATGCCATGATATCGAAGGTCATTTCGGATGGAGGAAAACCTACGCTAATCTCTTGCGTTCATAATATCTGGCCTCGGATGAAATCTGATTGTATTGCATATGTGCAAGGTTGTCAAGTGTGTCAACAGAACAAAATCTCCACGTAGCCTCCCCTTGGTCTATTGAAGCCCTTGCCTATCCCAACAAGTCCTGGAGACTCTGTGTCCATAGATTTCATGGACACTAAGGTGAAAAGCAGGAATGAAAAAAGTCAAGTTATGGTAATCGTTGATAGATTCAGCAAGTTTGTTGTTTTTGTAGCATTGTCTGCAGAAGCTAAAACTGACTTAGTAATTTGAAGAATTATTTAACCA